TGATTCAAACAGTTGTGTTAGAAACGGCCGCCCAGGAGCAGAGATCACCATCCTTGATTTAAAGTTTCCAATTAGCTTGGCATGCATGTTTTTGGACTGTTGGAGGAAACTGAAGTACTCGAAGGTACCCATGTATACACCGTGTCCCAAAAGTTCATGCACCACAGAAAAAGTCAACTCAGATTGTGAATATTCAACAGAATGCGTTTATTCAAAAGCCAGTGTATCCCCCCTGCATCTTAATTACTGCCCTCAGCCTGTGGGGCATAGAATGCACTAAGTTGTTTAGAACGGAAGGCTCAAAGTTGCCCCAATCCCGCACAGCCCTCACATTGAGCTGCTTCATGGTGGTAGGGGGTGGGCTGTTGAAGACTCGACTGTTCAGGATACCCCAGGAGTTCTCAATTGGGTTGAGGTCCGAGGAGTTGGGTGGCCATTCCTCTTTGCGCAGAAAGCCAGGAAGCTACTCAGAACACCACTGCTGAGTTGAACGAGCACTATGTGCGGGGGCAGCATCTTGCACAAAAACCATTTCTGCATGCCTGTTGAACATCTTCCTAGCAGTGATGGGCCCGATTTCTTTTTCTCTGGTGAGTATGGGAAGTAGCACTGGCTGGAGAATGTTCTTGACATAATACTCAGCATTGATGGTGGTGCCCTGGGGTGCAACATGCAACTCCAACAGCCCTGAAGATGACATTGCCCCCCAGACCATGCAATGGGCGCTGAACTTGACTTGTTCAGAAGGTGGCACTTTCTTTCGATCGTCGGTGTAGATGCGGTCTTTCTGGCTGTTGGGAGTTGGAAATAAGTAGAGTGGGCACTCATCAGAGAAAACCCAGTTTTCCCAGTGTCTTGGGGTCATTGCGGCATACTTCTTTGTAAAAGCCAGCCACTTCTCCTTTTGCAGTTTGGTAAGGCGAGGAATCCGCTGTCTTCTGTATGCTCTCAGACCCAGTTTTTCAGTCAGAAAACGATGGATGGTACTCTTAGAGACTGCTTCCCCAAGATTCTTCAGTCTTCGACTGAGTCTGTGGCAGGATTGGTGTCTCTTTCCCTTTGCCTTTCGGAAGAGGTCATTGGCCCTGGAACTCAGGACTGAGGGGCGACCTGCACGGGGCTCGTCTTCAAGTGATTCACAACTCTGGTGTCTCTGCCACCCATCATATGCTTCTGCCAAGGTCCTGAGCTAACTCCCTGCAAGTTTTCCCTGCCCTGCGCAAGGAAATGGCTTGAGCACGGACTTGAGGTTCTGAAAGAGCAGCCTTTCCAGGTTTTTGTTTGGCCATCATGGCAGCACAACCAAAAAGGTTCTCTCAGTGACAGTTATCTCTTGGTTCCTTGGTCAACTAAGAAATTTATAGGCCTCTCGCAAAAAGATGAACGAATTAAACAACCTCACAACCAGGGCTCGACAAGTACATTGGCTCGATGGCCCTGGACCCGTGGAAGTGCCGATCGGGCCAGCGCACCTAGTCCTGTGCTTGCCCAATCGGGCCATCACCATTACTGCATGCCACGAGACGGGCGCGATTGCGCCTGCGCCCGTAAACGCCTGTCAAGTCGTCCTCACGGCGCGATTTAACAAGCCCGTCAGTCACTTCACAGGCGCGCCACTAGTTAATACAAGCGTTAGCCCATTTCACCTACCGCGGTAGACCATGACGATGACGACAATGTCATTTATCAAAACTAGCAATCGCAACATTCTCTCAGATCTAGACAACCAGTGCCAGCTGTGAGGAAGCATGCTAATATTCAGTTCGGCATATCCGATCCATCATCACAGCCCTAACTAGCAATCTCGGACCTCAGTAAAAAATTCAGAGAGAAAAAAAAAAATCAACGTCTTTATCATTCAGGTTTTGTTCTAGGTATGTTTAGTGTAACCAGTGTGAACATGCAGTGTTACATTTCACCAAAAATCAGTTTCTGTTTGCACATTATTATTCTCAATTTCTGTTTGCACATTATTATTCTTTTCCTCTTCCGCATTTTGGAGAGTTTTCTTTAGTTCAGTAGAATTTTTATATTAATGCTGTTTGATCTTCGACATTTTGGCGACATAACTTCCTCCAAATTCGTGGTATTCTCCTCAGTATTCAGCTCTGCACTGGAGAGGTAAGATGAAATAAGTGCCCTTCAGCGGTTTTGTAAAACGCAGTAAAATGCTAAACGGAGGCGAAGATACTTCCTTGTAGAGGTCAAAGATTTTGTTCATTATTGCTTCGATGTTTACTTTGGAGTTTATACATTTTTATTTTATCGTGTACGGCACTTTTGTGAAGCATGCTAATTTACCTATCGTAAGTCCAGGCTAATGGAGCATTAGGTGGTTTCTCGTGCGGTTCGCCGTTTCTTCTATTTCGAATTTAAAGGAGAATGTTCCCGCCAGACCTATGAAACGTTAATATATACCTTGATGCTGTAAGAAATCCACTGGTGTAACTTGAACTTCAAGTTACACCAGTGGCCAAAAGACGCAAAAATTACGGTGGTCGTAATGTTCTGGCTGATCTGGCTGATGGGCCGTTTTTGACGGGCGAAAGCCTACACCCAGAAACAGGGCTCTGTTAAATCCGTGAATGAATTTTTCTAACAACTATACATAATTTATTAACAACGCGTGAAGATTTCATTTTTAAATCATTGGTACCATAATCCTCCAGTGTGACAAAAAGTTGTGTTTTTATGCATGCTATGTGAACAGTAATGGGACAATCGCGGTCTCGGCATGGTCCTCAGTGGTAATAAAATATAGTATTTGTGGTGCTTTTGTGTGACCGAGAGACGAGCTCTGCTTATCGCCCGTCTGCTTAACTCAACTCTGTAAAATGAGCGATCGTGACGATATGAATGTTTTAACGTGTATAATTTATAAACAATAAGCTATGAATGTTCGTCGAGGCAATTTGTGTAAAATCAACGGAAAAAAATGTGTTTTCTTTATTGAAAAACAAAAAGAATTCCTTGCTGCAAGTAAAAATCCACAGAAAAGGGTCATCAAAAATACGGGCCAGTGAAAAGTTGGTTCGGGCCGGTGGAAATGACCAGTCACTGGCCCTATAGGGACAGTGAATTTTTCAAAACTAGTCGAGCCCTGACAGCACCTGGCTGACCAGGTGCAACCCATTTTGGAGACAGACGTGTTGCCCGGGTGCATGAACTTTTGGGACACGGTGTACACGGGAAGAATATGCAAACTCCACAGAAAAAGGTCTCAAACCTGAATTGAACCCACTGCTGTATGACCCCCAAAGGAATGGCAGAGAAACGGAGGAGATACTGAGGTTCACCATTTGCTCTTTTACATAGAGCAACAGATCTACATAAACAATGGCTGTGCTCAGTTAAATAATCTTCTCCGCACGATGACACAGCATACCGATTTCATTTTTATTCAACCTTTATTTAACCAGGGAAGTCCCGTTGAGATTGAAATCTCTTTTTCAAGGGAGCCCTGGGGGTTGAGGAGGAGAGGGACAGGACAAATTGCACAGCCAATTAGATCAGGGGATGACTAGGTGGCAGGTCGAAAGAGCCAAGTTGGGAATTTAGCCATGACACCGGGGAACCCCCTACTCTTATCGAAGAGTGTCAGAACCTCGGTTTAACGTCTCATCCGAAAGACGGCGTCTCCTTCAGTACAGTGTCCCCATCACTGCACTGGGGCATTATTCCACCAGAGGGAAGAACGCAACCTACTGGCCCACCAACACCTCTTCCAGCAGCAACTCAGTTTTCCCAGGTGGTCTCCCATCCAAGTACTAACCAAGCCCACGCCTGCTTAGCTCCAGCCACGCGGCTGGGTTTACTGCATATTGGAAGGGAGTATTAATTAGTTGCCGCGTTGTCCTTCAATAATTACTGCAAGAAGTTTCAGCAATATTTTCACATCATTATCTTGCATTGCAGCTGCTCTGTAGTCTTTCTATATTTGTTGCAATAGATATAACCAAATCTGAAATGTTACTTTCCATACAAAAACTTTCTCCAAAAATTCTTAGTGGAATTCTGTCCATAAATCCAAGCCTGCTGACCTGAGTGCTGTTTGAGTACAAAGACAAACTGTGTCCCACTGCTGGAAGGATCTGACGGGTGATGGTCTGCAACATCAGCAATGTTTGTTTTTTTTTTTGTTGTTGTTTTTTTCTACAAACAAATCGCAAATATAACAGGCAAAAACACAAGGGCACACAAAAACAGACAAAAATTAAGGCTGGCGAAAATGTGTCATTGGTAATCCTATCATGTCATCTCTGGAAGTACTACACGCATAGTAGGCACCTTGCCAGATGAGGTCTAAGGGAATGTGATGACAAATCTACACCTGGCTGGTGAAAATACATACCAACACAAATAAACAATAGCCGTGGCCTGAGGTGAGAAAGTGTGTGATAGCGAGCGTGCATGGTGTTCACAGCAATTGCTGGATCCAGCTGGCACACTATCACAGAAATTACAGCAATAACGTCAACGGAAACAGTCAGTTTGCAAAGCATGCTACCTTGCAGAGATGAATATGAGGGTGGCAACACAATCTGAAATTCTGAAGGAATTTCTGCGCTTGCAACAGAAGGTTGATGAATACTACAGTCAGACCTCATTTGATTTCTTGAGTTTGGGGAAACAGGCACAAGATGCTCTTTTTAATTGAATGTAGGCCTATAGGACAGATGTTATGTAAAATATTACGATACTATTTGTGAATGCTCTTTACCACAGAACTCTCCTGAACACTCAAGAGATACCAGGAAGTATTTCAATGAACTACTACCACTATTATTATCCATCATTTATTTCGGGGGAGCTAGAGCCTATCCCAGCTGACTACAGGCGAAAGGCAGAGACACACCCTGGACAGCTCACACATCGCGCACTCCATTCACTCACACTCACACTCACAATTAGCATCTCCAATTAGGATCATGGGAGGAAACCGGAGTAATTGGAGGAAACTCATACGAACATGGGTAGAACATGCAAACTCTACACAGAAAGGCCTCAGGTGGGATTTGAACCCACGACCTTCTTGCTGTGAGGTGGCAGTGCAACCCACTGTGCCACCGATGTTATCCTCCTTCATCAACCCAACCAGGTGGGGGACAGAAGTCTATCCCAGCATACAGCAGGCAAGAAGCAGGAACACGCCCTGGACAGTTCGGCAATTTATTGCAAGGATAAAAGATCATTGTCTTAGGCACTCGTCACTATTGAAAATTTTTTAAAGATTTCCGATTAGCCTAGCATATGGGATCGGGAGGAGGAAACTAGTGTATCCATGGAAATTTCATCATGTGATCACTGGCTGCTAATGTCCTGCTGTCCTGATCCGGTCCTGATCCAGTTCTGCTCCACCCTTTCCTCGACACTTCCTGGAGCTCCAGATGCCACAGCTTGGATGTTTCAATAACTTTCAACGGACTTTAATTGAACTTATTTATTATTTTTATTTTATTATTAATTAGCCAACCAGCAGAAGATGGGCTTCCCCACTATAGCCGGGTTCCTCCTGAGATTTCTTCCCACTGGGGAGTTTTTTCTCACCACTGTTTGAGGATTTTTCTCCCTACTGGGAGTTTTTTTTTTTTTTTTTTTGCCTCATTTCCTATAATGGGGATTAGGCTGGGCACTGCCCCTTTTTTGCACTGTAAAGCATCTTTGTGACAATCATACCGTGAAAAGCGCTATACAAATAAAGTTGAATGGAACAGAATTGCACTGAAATCCATTCACTATCACAGAGGGAGGACAAGCAAACTCCACACAGGAATGCTCCAGTCCTGATTCAAACTAACCTTTTTTGCTGTGAGGAAACAACATCATCTCATTAATAATATTGGGTGGCATGGTGGTGCGGTGGTGAGTGTTGCTGCGTCACAACATGGAGATTGTGGGTTTGAATCGTGCCTGGGTTTTCTTTATTGAGTTTGCATGCTATCATTGGCAGTTTCCTTTATTCTTTGTTTAAATCCTCAGCAGCTTTTACCACCGCAGTTGCTAATCTTAAATCAATTACATCTCATGTAATAGAAGTCCTCATTAGCCCATAGGCCTATAAACTACCCGTCTGCCTCCTATATCCTCAGTGGTATATTTTACTTTGGGTGCACTCAATAAAGGGTAGGAAATCAAGGAGGGACAGAGGACAAAAGTTCCCTCATAAAAATGCCCCAGTGATAACAAGGCTAGTTGCATTTAATATTATTATTATTAACTAATTATCCCAAAGGTTTGTCACAATCTATTGTGTGAAATCATAGAAAAATGGGCATAGTTGTTGAAAAATGCCACCCGCCTCCTTGTTGTGTTGGGCATGTTCCAATCACTGAATAAAGTACACTAACTTGAACTATTATCATGACAGAATATTCAAGACACCCTTTAAATGCACAATGAGATGTTCATTTTCACCATATTTGCTTTAACAGTGATGAAACTGATATAGGCTACAAATGATTTCAGACTATTTCAATCAATTGCATGACCACGCATATCATCTCGCCGACAACAAACAAATAATTTAAGAGGGAAAATGCAAGAAGCGGAGTCTTTTTCCGTATTCCCATCCCTACTTTTATTATTCAGTGAATGATGCCCAATTAAAACGGCCTGTGATAAAGTAGGCAGCACCTGAATAAAAAAATAATAACCGTTTTCAATATGCTAAACTGCAATTACTTTGTTTGAACACACAAGTCTCCCGCCTTAAACCCAAGTGGGCAGGACGGTTTAATATCATCACTGTGTATATTGTTCGGGCTTCACAATGAAGTAGCTATGTACAGCAGTAGGTTGCGTTCGGCCATTATGGTATGCTATATTGGCAGTGGGCTTTTTGGTCGGATTTTACGAATTTTTAGAGGATAGATGGTCAATGGAGTGGCATTCTCTTTACTCATCGATCAGAGTATCTGCTTTAACAGAATATTTTTTTAACCGGTGGCATATTTCTGACCGCGTGGCAGTGATTTGTAGACAACTGGGGTCAATTGTAGGCAACCCGTTTTCTTTCATTAGCTTCTCACACTCTGAATAAACAGCATTCTTCGGACAAGTCGTTCTGTAGCATAGTCATCCGTTTAGCTGATGTAAAGAAAAGCTGTGGCCTAGTTTTTAACCGTTAAAGTAGTGCATTGACGTTTTGAAACAACAATACAGCGTATTTTACAACTGCTGACGCGCAGCAAAGGGTTAATGTTAAACGCGCGTAAATATCCCAGCCAGTGAACTGGAACAAGACGCGAGTCAGCCTATACTAATGGCATTTATTTCAGACAAATGTATGTTAAGCTACATATACAAATTTCGCTTTTCATATTTAATCAAATGAAACACAAAGTCACGGTTGTTTAAAATATTCAAACTACAAACGCTAGCATATCTACAGACACTAGGATCTGTAGCTCATAACCTCATACCGAGAGTAAGTAGGTTCACCAATTAGTCTACAATTGGAAATTAACAAGCTCGATATAAAAGCAGATGGAACGAATTACCATATGAGAAAATTCAGTATTAATGTAGACACCTGGAAGACAAAACGGGCACGTATTTAACATTTTGTGTCACTGTTTCAGACTACTGGACGACTACCAGCTTGGTATCTGTCGTTTGGTGACTGACAAAATAGCCCCCCAAAGCTCTGCAAGGTCTCCCAACATTCTCATCCGACAAACAGAAAACGAAATTGTCAATCCACTCAGCAACTCCTCAAGATGTCCTTTACAGAGCAGAGAAATTTGATTCAGGCGTCATAAATAATGGTTAGCATAGACTGGTTGCCTACTAAGCTTCCGTGCTAATGGGCTACGACAGCGACAATGCACAAACGTTTTGCAAATCTGCCAACAATTAAAACTTAGTAGTGGCGCAATTGATCAAATATTAAATTAAAACGATAATTTCACCCTTTGTTCAATGTGACTACGTAGTCGGTAAAATGTTTTTGAGCTATTCACGAAAAATGTTACAACCTAGCCAGCTAAATATAACTCCGCCTTCTTCTTCAAGCGGCCTCGCTGTGAGTAATACAAATGTAACCAGCGAATACACAGCATTACGCGAACAAAAGCAAAAATACATCGCAAAATGTCTTGCAAACAAAACCACATTTACATATGTGTGAAGTTGTCCTTACCTGCCGTGAAACCAGTCCTTGCAAGCATCGCATTCGATCATAAACTGGGTTACGTCGTAGGGTAATCTACAGATGCAATAAACTGGTACAGTCGCCATGTTAGATCAATTCACAACAACGCCTGAGAGACAGTGGTGCACAAACCCTCCTGCAAAAATTACAATATGAAAATCCTCAAAATAGCTCGCCGCTTCGGCGGTCTTTAAAATACGTTTACATAAAATCGCACCATAAAAGTCTTCAGAAATGATCCGTTTGCACTGAAATTTCACAAAAACAAAAATGTTTAACTAATTATGTTTCCTGAAGTGTATTATTGTGCGTAGGCTATGCCCCCTGGTGACTGTACAGTATTGAGACTTTCATAAACCCAAAGAAAATGTATCCTTTCATTGTAATATTATTACGTCAGCTTGTAGGACGGTATCGTCTTCAAATCAGATGAATGAAGATCATTAACACTGCAGCTGTTCCACATGGTATCCCGGGACATTCGAAAATGTATCCTGGCCACCGGGGAACCCCATAATCATGGTTGCTCGCGCGCAATAATCGAACACTCCGTGCGTTGTATTACAGCTGAAAATGACGTGCCCCAATCGCAGGGATTTCACGCTTGTTAATTACGAACCATGTACGAGGACTGAGATATACTGTAAATGCCGATGATTGGTGTTCTATATTGAGCGAGTACCAACAAACGATCACGCGACAGTACCCAAATATCTATTTAACATCGAAACCTCTTTATAATCAGTAAAAATATATATAACGGTTTTCGGGTAGAACATGAGACAGTTAGTTTGCTATTGTTGCTATAGTGGCATGACACTGCATGCAGTATTTCTTGCCGGTGAACTGTGCGTTAGGGTGTGTCAACAAACTGATTCTCGTCCCTTAATGCATCATTTCATAGTTTCATATTCACTGATAATTTCAGATATCAGAATGAAAAATCATCGTTATTCCACCGTAGGAAAACGGTACACCGTCTAGGAGTCTCAACAATGATACAATTCCTCACCAGATATCACATGCTGACATTTTAATGCAATTGCAAACCCCCAACAGCACAAAAACCCGTGTAATATCTGTATAAACTTTACATATAAAAATTTTAAATAATTAAAAATAATTCTGGTGAACAAAAGTCCACATTAACGTAGCACTAGTCTTCCACCAGACTGCAGGTCTTCAAAAGCAATAGATTACAGCCAAATCAGGTATTTTAAAGGTTTCATTTAAGAGTCAGCAATGCTGAATTTTGCCGCAATACTGCCATTATTATTATTATTATTATTATCTTTTTTGTTGTCATTGTTTGAATCAGGATGCATACAATCATTATATAGATATACGTCACAAAAAGCAGATGTCATAAAATAAAAAATACGGAATCTGCAATTTCCAACTAATCACTTGACAAAGCGCATTAGGAAATTGACCAAAGCTCCTTAAAAATCACACAATGCAAAGTCAAATTATACTAAAAGAATAAAGACTTTTATTAAGCATTGTAAGTTGCACTCAACTGCCTTCAAATACACCACACCACAATCCATCAACAATCAGTCAATCCCAACAGTATAGTTCATCCTTTTACAACTCATGAGTTAGGTAAAAACTCCGTTCAACTTACATCAAGGTAACCTATTTAGCTCTTGCGGGCAGGGGACAGGGGAATACACCGTATTTCTGATCACTAATGTGTGATGGAAAGCATCAGGAGAATTAGATGAAAAAAGTGATGATTCTGTTTTAGAAGTACAATAAGTTTGAAAACACTAAAGTAAACATCAAAAATGATTACAGGTTTACTTGCTTATGCTAAACTCTCAATGGGAAGGCCAAGAGTCTTGCTGACTTGTTTTCCAGCTACGAAAAAGGGGGGGTCATTTAAGATCAAAGCTTTTTTTGAGAGGTTTTTCTTTTA